AAAAATGCAGATGAATGCGGAATTACAAGTTTTATCACCGTTGGTTCCGGTTCGCAATGTCAATTTCCTCCGGTTTTGTAAGCAGCATGCGGAGGGAGTGTGGGCGGTGGTGGATGTATCGATTGATACAGTACGGGATAACTCCGGTGGTTCTCAGGTCATAGTCCGGCGATTACCATCGGGTTGTGTGGTGCAAGATATGTCCAATGGCTATTCTAAGGTATATAACTTTTTAAAAATCGAAATAATAATTAAGTCATAAACACATTTTGGAATCTTTTAATATTTTCTTAAAATGTTTAGTAGTGTTGGTTTTTGAAAAATTCGATAAAAATGAAGAAATTAGGATCTCTAGGTTTTTAATTGGGTGATCACCAGACGGAGAAGCTCAAGCATCAATGAGTTTGTTTTTTAGCCATTACTCGCTGCACCCATTTCACTGTCACTCTCATTTTTCCTTTTTCTTTTTAATCTTTTACCTCTCTTGATTTCTTTTTTTTTACTACTTTAATCTCATAGATTATTTTATTTTTTAAAATTTGGGCGCCTGTTTTATTTTCCGTTTTGTCTAGATTTTTTAAAATTGTTTTTCTACTATAAAAATTTAATAGTAGTATATGATTTTATGCCAGAAAAGAGAAAAAAAATTATTGAATGGGTTATTTTCTTCCTCGAATTTTGATCCCCGAACCTTCCGATATTGCTGAAATTTTATGGATCCGGATGCTTCTCTCTCTGTCGGATTCTCTGGATTAGATTTCAAGTTTTCGACAACTGGCCGGGTCTGTCTCCAAAATCGAAAATATTTATTTATTTGCTCTCTATTCTATGAAGCATCTGTCCAAAATAAAGTTTGTGCGCATTTTGGAAAAGAACACATTAATTTCATAGTATGCATGTAGGAAAAAGCTTCTAAATCATCGTTTAAATAAAACTAGTTTTCCTACTATTTCTATTCCGATCTTCCATGTTGCCTCGTATCTCCCGTCTCTATCATCTACATATAAAGAAGTATGTACCATTTATTTTAGTTGTCCTATTTACTTGAATTTTATCGTATTATCTTTCCACTAAAAGCATTTACACTTTCTGGATTATGGTGTTTTTATAACTTGTCTAATAGTAATAAAAAGTAGATCGGTTTGGTTGGGTTTGCTTGTTGATACGCTAAACCAGGATTTTGGTTTCTGGTTTGTGTAGGTCACGTGGGTGGAGCATGCAGAATACGACGAGAACCTAATCCACCACCTGTACAGACCATTGCTACGGTCAGGTCTTGGTTTTGGGTCACAAAGATGGCTTGCTACACTTCAGAGACAATGCGAGTGTCGCGCTATTCTCATGTCATCCCCCGTTACATCTCACGACAACAAATGTACGATTCTTAGACACTGACATTCTCACTATATGCTTTAAATTTAAAACATGTTTATAATAATCACTTTTTTAACAGCTGTAACGCCTGGTGGTCGAAAGAGCATGCTCAAGTTAGCTGAACGTATGACGTTTAACTTCTGTTCGGGCATTTCCGCGCCTTCGGTTCACGATTGGAACAAGCTCGCTCTCGGAAATGTTGACCCGGACGTTCGAGTTATGACCCGTAAGAATGTTGATGATCCAGGAGAGCCTCCGGGGATTGTTTTGAGTGCTGCTACATCTGTGTGGCTTCCCGCTTCGCCACAACGATTGTTCGATTTCTTGCGAAATGAACGGATGAGATGCGAATGGGATATTTTATCTAACGGTGGTCCTATGCAAGAAATGGCACATATCGCCAAAGGTCAAGATCAAGGCAATTCCGTTTCTTTGCTCCGTTCTAATGTAAGTTTTTCACATTGCACTTATCTCGGTTTAAGTTTTACGATTGTTTCACTGGTTAGTTATTATCTTGGTTTAGTTAGACCGGTCTAATTTGTGGCTGTGTGATTGGTTGGGGACGTGGGGATGTGATGGATTAGGTGATAGTGACGTTTTTGTCCCTGGGAGCGATTCTGGTATGACGGACAAAAGTGTGGATTGGGAAAGGACAATATAGGAATTTTGGGTCGTATCACAGTTCACAAGATGACATAATAATTTACTAGAATTTTAGAATTATTTGTTTATTCTGGAAGTAGAAAACAAAAGTGTCACAGCTTTTGTAAGGGTTTAAAAAGTCAAAATTAATAGGACAGTTTCGAACTTTACTTCTAGGGTCTATATTTTTTGACCTTTTCACTTCTCTTTTCTGTATTTTTCTTTTTGGGGCTAAGCTGAAAAGTTGTATTGGCTTGTTTGCCTTTTTCACTATAGGCGTTACTGTTTTGGTCAGTGTGGCAATTCTCGTAAATAAACGTTCGAGCTAAGGGTTAATTTGTTAACATATTTTTTTTTTTGGCAGCCACTGAACGCGAATCAAAGCAGTATGCTAATTCTTCAAGAGACATGCATAGACGCGTCTGGAGCGCTTGTAGTCTACGCGCCTGTTGATATTCCGGCCATGCATGTGGTGATGAACGGTGGAGATTCATCCTACGTGGCTCAACTTCCTTCTGGTTTTGCTGTTCTCCCTGACGGTGGCTCCGGCGATAATGAACAGAGACCCGTCGGTGGTGGGTCTCTCTTGACAGTGGCGTTTCAAATCCTTGTTAACAATCTCCCGAACGCAAAACTCACCGTTGAGTCGGTGGAGACTGTTAACAATCTCATATCATGCACCGTTCAGAAGATCCGAGCCGCTTTACAATGCGAAAGCTAGCCTTAGCGGCGGCGCGTGGGCGTGTGTTTGTTGTCTTTGTTTGAATTGTGAATTTTCTTTTAACTTTTGGTCTTGTACTATTGATATTAAGTAGTTTGTGGGAGGGGGTGTCGAGTCAAGAACGAACCGCGCAGGTGGCGAAATCTAACTCCTTTTGCTAACCGTGATGGGACCAATGTCAAGGTCTGATCACGGTCGAGGAGTTGGTGGTTCGGGTATTGACTGGGGTTGGAAACCCCCTTACCGATCCTATGTGTTTTCTTGGTATTATTAATATAAGACTCATGTAGCGCGAGTGATCCGCACGCGCCGTCGGATGCGGCTGTGTTGTGGTTACGGACGCATGATGGGATTTTTATTGTGGTTTGTGGAATTGGATGGTTCTG